TGGGGGAGCAAGCAGGGGCTGGCAGGGGTCCCCCCATGGTCCCCTCCCCTGCCCCTAGTACTTACCAGCTTGGAGTCAGCTGCAGCTCCCTCCTGCAGCCACCGAGGACTGCCTGAATCATCAAAGCTCTCTGAATCTTTTCCAAAGATTCAGAGAGCTTTGAATTGATTCGGACCTTTAAATTGGTCCCCTGTTTCAATTCGGATTCGGAGATTCAGCCACTGAATTGGGCCGAATCTCCTCTGAATTGAATCACTATTCAAAGCTTCGCACAGTCCTACGGGATATTACTCATAGAGGTAATTTCATAGATTTCATAGACATTTGGGCTGGAAGGGACCCCGGAGGATCATCCAGTCCAGCCCCCTTCCCCAGGGGCAGGAAGTCAGCAGGGATCATAGGATCCCAGCAAGATAAGCATCCAAATGTGTCTTGACGGTGTTCAAAGTAGGTGCTTGAACCGCCTCCGGTGGCAGTCTATTCCAAACCTTGGGGCCTCGGACAGTAAAGAAGTTCTTCCTTATGTCCAGCCTGAATCGGTCGCGGCTGAGTTTGTGACCATTCGATCTTGTCATCCCTTGGGGCGCTCTGGTGAACAGATGTTCCCCCAGATCCTGATGAGCACCCCTGATACACTTATAGGTGGCCACCAGATCACCCCCGAGCCTGCGCTTTTTCAGGCTGAAGAGTCCCATGGCTCTCAGCCTCTCGTCATAAGGTCTGTTTTCTTGACCCCTGATCATGCACATGGCTCTCCTCTGCACCCTCTCAAGCTTCTCCACATCCTTTTTTGAATTGTGGAGCCCAAAACTGGACGCAGTACTCCAGCTGCGGCCTCACCAAGGCCGAGAACAACGGGAGAATGACGTCCTGGGATTTATTTGAGAAGCATCTATGGATGCAAGCCAGCATTTTGCTCGCTTTACTAGCCGCAGCATCACACTGAAGGCTCATGTTCATCTTGTGGTCAATCGTGTATAGTTAATGTATAGTTAACCTCTCACTTTCTTTTCCAGTGGGAACATCTTGGCTTTACGCCCACTTTATGGAAATGGGGGACTCCTCCCTAGCTTGCTCCTGCAGCCATGCAGATGAGGGCAAGCGAAACTCAGGGGCATCCGAACCCCAAGCCTCCAGGTGTGGGCCTGTACGTAGGATGCCTGCCAAATGATTTGAAAGCATCTGAAGCTCCAGGTGGGGGCGGAGGATATTTATCAGTAGTAAGGCCACATATGGTTCTTGAATGACTCATGGATTTGGAATTGGTTTGGCTTGGAACATGAAAAATGTTACTTAAAAAAAAGAAGAAGGTTTGGGCTGAATGGGGCTCTATGGAGAGTCCTGCCCTCACTCTGCCAAATGGGGAATTCCTTCTTTATTGCATCACCAAGATCCTCCCATCAATCAGTTGCTGGTCACATACTGAGATTAAAAGAATCTAATGAAACTCTAAACCCAGGGCATATTGAAAAATCCCAAGGGCTCTCTTTAAATCCCCACCTACCTACCTAGGCCAACTGCAATTCTGCAGGGGGGCGCAGCATGCAATGGCCTCTGGCACCTAAGTAGGTTGATGTGGGAGATAGTAAGGTGAAGTTGACAAAGACATGCTCTCCTCTGGATCAGCATAATTCCCCAGGGCCCTTTTTATATATTACATTTATACAGCAATTAATATGCTAATCATGGCATAAAAATGGTAAAGGTACTACATGTGCACCCACTTTAAGGTGCCATAAAATGACAAACCTGCACTAAATGTGCTACATATAATGTAACACATTTTTAGGGCTGGTTTGTATGGCATCTTAAATTGAATGTGTAGCAGGTTGGGGCAGGGGCTGACACTCAGCTGACTTTGTCAGCTTCAGCCAGGGACCACACTGGGGTCTCAAACCAGGCCCAATGCAGCCTGGAATCTGTGGGCGACCAGCTTTCAATCTGCCAGTGCAGAGAAGCCTGGGATAATGATGTAGAAAGAGTGCAACTGGTAGCTGATCCCAATCCCAGAATCATGCCTCCTGCCATGCACGTGTGGCATAATATAATTGTTGGGATTGGGGATCAGATCCCAGGGCAACTTTAAATTAGTATGTGACAGGAGCCTAAGAAAAGGAATATCCATCTGATTTGAGGGGTAGCTCAGAGGTTTCCTACCAGCACGCCATGAAGGGTTGGCTGCCGGGTCACAGCACGAGCTTTAACCACTGCTAGCAACAGTTCTATGCCCAGGCCGCACCCATGCCCTGATGACTGGCTGGGCGAAAATATCCTCCGCTTGGCCAATGACTGTGACTTTAGCTTTTGAAATTGGACCGTGGTAACTGTGGCTAGTCACTTCCCTATCAGCGAGACTGTTGTAACCACTAATGTCTGGCTTGCCCCCTACTTGTATCCTCTGCAGCTAGATAGCTAACATTAGCCAGCTAGTGATGTGTACGTATGATTTTTAGCCATTGTCTCCCTCCATGTAAAAAATAAATTTAAATATGTAAATTAGATTGTTTCTATACCCGGTTCGCCAGTATTCTTTGAGTGAGTTTGCTGGTCTGCAGTATAAAAAAGGCTGGGAACCACTGGGGTAGGTGACATTCAAAGCTGATTCAGCAGTGACTCGACTCAAGCAATACTAATACTCTGCATGTCTGACATGGCTTTGAACCAAGGAAGTGAATCATTAGCCAGGATTCACCACCTTGGACTTCTATGATTGTCAGGAGCACCCCCAGTTTTGACCCACCTATTCTCAAGCAGACTAAGAGTAGTGAGGTGCAGACGAGGGCTCATACCTTTTAAGCCTTTCTTCGGTTTTGTAGCCTAAGGAAAAAAATAAATTTTGACTTGTTACAAAAATAAAAAGCACTGAAAGCAAGACACATCCAACAGGACTTTTCCTGCATGATGATCATAGGGCTGGAAGGGGCCTCAAGAAGCCATTTAGTTCAACCCCATGCTAAAGGCAGGATCATCCCCAACTAAACCAGCCCAGCCAAGGGTCTGCGCAACTTGCTCTTGAAAATTTCCAGGGATGGAGTTTCCACAGCTTCTCTAGGCAGCCGGTTCTAATGCTTGACCACTTTCACAGTCAGAAAGTTCTTCCTAATCTCCAACCTAAATTTCTCCTGCTGCAGCTTGACACCATGCTCCTAGTCCTGTCCCCTACAGCCATGGAGAACAGTTTATTCCCATCCTTTTTATAATTATCCTTCAGTTTTTGAAGACTGCTATCAACTCCGCCACCCCCGCCCCAGTCTTCTCTTCTTCAAGCTAAATAATCCTGGCTCTTCCAGCCTTTCCTTATAAGTCATGTTACCCAGGTCTGTAATCACTTAGTTTTGTTGCCCTCCACTGAACTCTTTCCAATTTGTCCACATCGTTCTCCAAGTGTGGGGCCCAAACCTGGACACAGTACTCCAGGGGAGGCCTAACCAGTGCTGATCAGAGCAGCAGAATCACTGCCCTGTTAATTCTCTGTATTGTAGAACCACGTTAGATAACTCAGTCTAGGCAAGCCAGCCCAGATGCAACATTATTGTTATTGTCATTATTTAGATGCATGTCCCACACTATCCAGAAAGCCTCAGGGTGGCTTACGATACCAGGTATGACACGTCCACCATGATCCCTGTTGTTTATTGATGAAGCGAAAGTCAGATTTTCTTGTACAATCCCGACACAATATGGGAAAGCTTCCCAGGCCAATTGGGACATGATGCATGAAACAATAGAATTTATCCTGCGTACTCCTGAAGATTACCATAAGTAACTGTAGCAAGCACAGTCCCTTCTCGGTGCTAACTAGACAGCTAGGATTTGCAAAAGTCTAGTGGTGCATTCAATCATCGCTGCCTTAGGACAGTGGTTCCCAACCTTTTTTATACTGTGGATTGGCAAACTGTGGACTGGAAGTGACTGTGGACCGGCAAACTGCGTACCGACAGCCAACCCTTTGTGGCCCGGTATTGTGCCATGGCCCGGTGGTTGGGAACCTCTGCCTTAGGGCATCACAGCAATGAAGTCTGCCTGTTTCTGTTTCTAGTTTTCATAACTCTTTTCTACCCGTTGCCCCTTCACGTCACACTCACCATCTCACGGCTTGCAGGGGTCCTTTCTTCCGTGGGCTTCTGCTCTCAGTCATTCAGTCTCCACCTCCAGATACGGTTTAACAATGTAATCCTGCGACCCAATCGATTCAAGCCCGGTCTAACGAAAGAGAGAGCAAGATTTCCTGCTTCAACCTCCACATTCAGCAG